TTGTGGTTGTGACGTTTCGTGAAGCTGTGATTCAGGTCACAACAGCTGAGTTTATGAATTAAAGTAAATACTGTGACTACTTGGCTATTTGAGGATTAACATCACAAATTCATACAATTGTGTCCGTTCAAGCCTGAAGCGTCTCAGCCCTGCGGTCAAACACGATTTATGCAATTTCAACTGTTCAGGGAGGCAAAAATATAGAAAAAAAACATAAAAAATAAGACATACTGCATTCAAACCACTACATGTTTTTGCCTCTAACTGCATGGTATTAGAATGACGTGGGCATGTATGTAACGGGAAGGCTCCTGGGTACCAACTCAACCAATTTCCATCCACATATCCAGAGGTGAAAGGTCAAAGGGTCTTTTTCAAATTTGCCACGCCAGTTCGCCCGTGCAAAGCCAGCATGACATGGTTGGTTTCGTTGGAAGTTGTTCCAAAAGTAAAAAAGAAAAAGGCTATTGCTCTCGGGAGAAGATGTAAAATGTTGGAAAAGCACTTTATTCAGATTTATTCTTCGGTCATAACCACTCTTAGTTTTGGCAGATACGTTTTGATAATTTATTGTCCACCTTTCAGATGTAAAATTCAAACTGTCCTTAAAAGAATTACACATCCCTTAAAATAAAGATGAGGATCTTTCCTTTCGTACAATGGCTTTTAAACAATAACACTTAAACCTGAATTTACTTTGATGAAACAATCCTGCCGTCATTTTATTTTTATTGCGCATCAGATGTTAGAATCCATCATCTTAACCAGCTGTGTTAACCAGGCCGAGGAGAATTAATGGATTTCATCCAGAACAAATAAGACGCGACTTAACTCAACCATCTTAAACGACAGCGGTGGCGTAAACCGTTCCATCCATCCCAAACAAACACATTAACAGCTCTGCATGCGTTATGCGTGAACATATAGCTGTGACAAACGCACCACCGCTTCCCTTTAGTGGCACAAGAATAATCCTCCCTCGAGAATTGTTGAGAAAATTGTCCCTTGTCCTTCAGTTGAGGATCACAAACTAAAAAAAGTAATCCAACCTCTTTTTAATCTCTCTAATACGTTCCGCAGATAGGAAAGGCACATGCTGGAAAATAAACCATGAATTATAAAACCAATTTAACGGCACTCCTCTTCGCCTGTGAATGGACTGCTCAGCAGGGGTTTAGACAAGTAAAAGCTGAGTATCCATTAATTGTGTGCTGAATAAAAGCAGAGTTTCCCTCAGTGAAAAGAGCCTCCCAGGCTGTGCGTGTGGATGTCTAATTAAAATCTTCACAGAAGTAGCAAGTCAACTCATTTTCCAACTTTGAGAACTTTCTGCAAATATAAGGATTACGCCCTACTTGAATCCACGCGTTGGTACAGCCGTCTTGTATTAAAGCAAAAGACAGTGAGCAGAATAAAATTAAACAAAAAACAGACCAAAATCTGTTGAACAAATGATATATTCCTCCAAATATAACCCATCAGGGGGGCAGCAGGGCCCGCAAACATTTTTTTTTTTTGCATTCACGCAATGCAGAGCAGAGACTAGATTTGTAGAGAATAGACGATTGGACATGAAGGACGATAGTGGACATATTCTGGTCAGCCCCCACCTTCAACATCAGCACATGGACATTATGGATCACCTCACAGTCTTTCTCACAGTTTCCCACACGTCCCTCGAGTGACCTGACGAGCGCTCCCAGGCGTCCACCCTCAGCAGAAATCAAAGCGCTGTATCTCCGGGCTGCTGTCACGCTTCAGATCAATATCACAGCACCCAAAACACAACAAGGAAGGGTGATGTATGCCCCCCCCCCCCCCCCTCCCCGTGCACCGTGCAGCACAAATAGCATCAGCACTCTACTCGATAGGACAGCTAAGGTCATTACTGTGAGCTGGTCGGGCAGCGCACTGGATAAATAAACCGTACGTATTTGACAGACGAGCTGGAACGAGTCATACAAGCGTGCTGCGTCAAGACGGACAGGACGCGTGAATGCTGGACTTAAATGGAGCATCTCAACGGGATGAGGTGTTCACATGGGCTGTGCACAGGAAGGAACCAGCCCGAGGTTAGCGTTGTTTTCTCATCGCTGTCTGTGAAGCAGTGTGTCCAGTTGGTGCATCCAAACTAACAACATTTCGTCTGTCCAACGCGCAGGCGGAGGAAGCCCGCGAGGGTCCAGCCGACTTCAAAGGGCTTTAAACGGACGTTGGCATAAGGGAGCAGTATTTCTAATCTGACCGCTGCCCAGACTAAGTCGCCCTCTATTTCGTGCCTGGTTATGGTTAAATTAGACAACATTATTAATGGAGTCCCTATACAGCGTTACAGGTTCCTTTTCTACTGCTACGGGTAAAAAGTGAGAACAACCTTTTTTTTTTAAAGTTTATTTTCAGCCATCACAAATATTGATTGTCATGTCACGGCTTCATAATCATTTATTTTTTTGTGCACCTGCATCACTTGTTCCAACTTGCTCTATGGACTATTGCTGCACTTCTGCTAAAAGTGTAAACCAAGATCCCTTTCTTCCCAGGTCTCAGACATAAAAAATGCAAATCTGATAATACATTTGTCAAGAAATGCTGGTTGGATGCAATAAAGAAGAAAAGCATGTGCTTGAAACTCTACCAACTTATAATAAAGTTTGGGGTTTATTTGTATGACACTTAATCAATAACCTTCTACCCTGCGACATTGAAGAAAGTTTTGGATTCATTTATTCAACACCGTAACTATTTCTGTCACATAGTAACTTTAACTTATTGAAACTGCAAAAATGATTTTAGAGCTTTACAAACAGAACTGAGGGAGAGCGAAGCTACTGAACTTTAGATCGTAATGCTGTTTGCAAGGAAACGTTTGTTCAGTTGAGCTCTATGCCGAGTGCCCCGTTGCACTCTGTGTGATGTTAATGTGTCACTAACAATCCCCCGATGTATCGGCACACTCTTCCACTAAGAGCTAATGAAGTTTTTTTATGATAAATGACTTTTTATCAGTTTACCCACGATGCACTAAGCCATCATTCACGGAATTATTCAAGGACGACAGGGGGCCAAATATCAGCAGCGTGGCAGACATCACTCATATCTGTGACATCATCTAATTAAAAGACATCACTTCTGCCAGACAGTTGCCTCACTGCCAGCTGAAGCAAATTGATTCTCAACCCCCTTCTGGTCCATGCAAAGGAGGAATGAATAATGCATGGACATTAAAGAGTTATCTTTGGTCCTGACAAACATCGTTGACACACTTTAAATATTCCACAAAGGTGTGCAGACGGTCCTCATTAGAAGAGCGATCAGACAGGGAAGTCATTCCGCATTCATTGCAGTTTGCTTCAAAGCCGGCGTCGTAATCACGGACTCACACGGATCAGCTGGTGTACTTTAGGACGGCCCTCAGATCACGACGGCGCTCAAAGTATTTGCATCGTTTTTTTTTTTTCCACGACTCACAGATTATCCCGCAATGGAAGTGAACAAATAACTTTGCATCACATGTCTGCCGCGGACGGCGAGCGCGTGTCCCGTGGGGTCAGTGTGGACATCTCTGTCCATGCTGCTGTGCTGCAACTGCTGGTCCCCCGGCTCAGCCTGCGTCAACGCGTTCCAGGTTATGACTCAAGTCCTCGTCGCCCCCCGTGGAGAAAACAAAGACATATAGCTGCACGACAGAGAGCTGCAATAAAACAGACCGGTGTTTTTAATAATAAAAAGCAACGCTTTGCCAGGCAGCCTGTTTTTTGAAAATGTGAAGCTTGAAGATGATGTGACACCATTGTGGCGTCAGGGGAGGACGCATAACGCCGCTCCGCCAGTTTGAAACCGCATATTGTGGAGCATCTACATTTTTCAAACTAGACGCTGAACCCTGTTCGAGGCCCCCATCGCGTTGTTTGAGTCACACCGAGCTGTTGACAGAGAGAGTTCATTACTGCTTGATCGAATCGTCATAAATAATACTGAGAGAGAGAGAGAGAGAGACAGGTTGAAGGAAACTCTTTTAATACCCCGTTTCCTTATGAGGAGTCAGGCTGAAAGCAGGCAACGAGAGAAGATTAGAAGACTGAAGAGGAAGTGGAAACTAAGGGAACTTAACTCTACAAGGAAATGCAGCTCTCGCACATCGGCCGGGGTTGCGTTATTTTCAGGATTCGCCTGAAGGGGTTTGGCTCCCACACATTGGCGCGTGATGCGCACAATGCCAGAAAGGATGATCCACTTCCCTCCCCTCCCCCCCCCCACCGTATCTTTGTCTGCTCAAAGAAATGCTTCAAATACAAACGACTGATGAGGTGGCGCTTGATTACAAATTCTCTCCCACCGCTAAATGCGACAAGCCAGCCGGATGTCACAACGTATTCTGTCAGAGGAGATTGAGTGGACGGAGGAAAACAAAGGGAAGGAACTGGTCCACATGAGTCGGAGTGAATCAGAGGCAGAACCTGGAATGTTAGAATGAGGAGTTCAGTTTGAACAACAGTCCTGCATTAGTCATGATCTGCTTCCTTTGGCACCGAGTCCATGCCGAACGCCTCTATCCGCCTCCCCAAGAGAGCCAAACAACGAGACCCACAGAACAGCCGCCAACCATCTGGAGTTCAAAGTAAATAATCCGCCCGATATAACTATATAATTAACACTGTTTCAATCTTTAAAGAGTGGAACTTTATAATGAACCCTGTATCCAAGGAAAGGAAATGATTGATTTTCTAAGATCAAAACTTAAATAAACTACTTTTCTGTCGTGGAAGGTTTGTACTTTTTGGAGACAGGTGGTGAAGTAGGTCGGTCGATACGATATTCTGTATGCTGAAAGATTTGCGACACTTGAATGGAAACAATAGGAGGTGAATTCAAGGTTTGAAACGTCCACACGTTGGAATTGATTTCTGCGGTTTGCATTGGCAGAATCTGGTGAGTTCTCAGCGACGGCGTTCAGGCTTCTCAAACTTTAGTTCATCGAACAGTGAAAACTTTGGACTCACCCAAGGCCGTGTAAAACTCGTCCTTTGTCAGGTGCTCGTCGTCATTGACGTCGTTGTACTTCAGCAGGTCAAACAAGGTGCACTCGGAGACGTCCTTGGACAGACCTTCTTGCTTGATGACCTTGAATGAGATTGCATCAAAGTTCGGTTAAAATCAGAGGACGGTGCTCGTGGGTATGATTGAAAAATGTCGCATGTGCTGCCCGGATTGTTTGATGCTTTCGTCAATAAAATGAGGATGTGTTTTTGTACTTATCTCGCACCGCAAAATACGTTGATACCGAATGTAATCATCGTTACGTTCGGCATCAACGTATTTGAAGTGCTCACTGACAAGAAGAAGTGCAGCACGATGTGATGCCCTTTTATCCTGCATTGCATCATGGAACCTTGCCGATTGATTGCTTAGGTTTGTTTCATATGTGTGAAAAGTTGTTGTTTTGTCCAAAAGTCCAATAGTCAAAATACACATATTTGCCTTCGATCCAAACAACCCACACAAAGGGAGGTGAATAAGAAGCAAGTAAAGTTGATTAAATAAAGGCGGATTATTTTTTCTTTGTCACGACATCCTAAAATATCAGACATTCAAAATGAATTTGGTGACCTTAATAGAAGCTTTGATGTCGAAAGTAAATTACATTCTTCTTGGCTCTATTAAATATCTAAAAATTGCTCCAAAGAACAGCACTCAAGTGAATGCAGACATGCTTTCAGCATTTATTATGAATGTTCTGCCTAAAACAGTTTCCAGTGTTATAAAAAGATAATGATAATAACATAGATATCATTACTTTCCCTATTTTACACAATTACAGTACAGGCTCACTAATTTAATTGTTGGATTATTAGAGTGCAAATACATGTACTTACTTAATATTCTCAGCCGAAATCTTTGCTTATATTCTCGGCTATAAATCAACATTAGGAGCCCCAATCTGAGCTGTGATGAGTGTCAAAGATGATGAAACACACACGGCATCAGCTGTCAGTGTAGGGTAGTCAAACTGAAGTTTTGTCACAATAGAAGGTTAAAAAAGGTCTCCAGCGATGCAGATTTTATCATCAGCCTGCTGATAGTGTGGCTGTACACACACGTCCTTCTGCACGGCCGTGCAGGGAAACATCCATCACAGAAGATCAGCTGTCAAACCAGCGATCACGAGGGACGGCCGCATGCACGGAGCCCTGCGCCTCGCCCCCCAAAATGAAGAAGTGCACCAGTGATGGTGCATCTTTAGCGTATCACAACAAGTAACAGCTTCTTTAGTGTAAATGGTTTTGAAGGGTAAAAAATATGCTCGCCTCGGCAGTTTTTTGCTTTTATTGACTCGCACCAACGTAGTTGATTTGTAAGTTGCTGCTGCTTGCTTTTTGGTTTTAACCCTTCAAATTTCAAATTCAAATCAAAGTTTTAATTATGGAGTCAACGGCGCTTTGTCTGGTTAGTCGACATCAACCTATCACGGCTTCTGCTACTTTATAGCATTTTAGACTCATTTCTGTAAAAACACGTGACCCGTGTTGGCAGGTACAGAACATATCCGTATAAAACCACACGAATCTAATCAGGCTCAGACGCCGACGCTCTGCAAATTCCTAAACAAAGTTTGAAGGTCATGTTTGTCTCTTCTTTGGGAAACTTTGCTTTTAATTTAGCTGCAGAAGAAATAAGATACGGAATAAAACATGTGTCAACCCTCTTCATGAATCTGCTTAAATCCTACGCATTGGTGGGAGGACGAGGAAGGCTTTACTCTGGTGCAGAGTGTTTTCAAAGATTTGCACATTAATTACACTCATTCTGGTCTAGACGAGGATTTCATTTGCTTCAGTCTTATTCTCAGAGCGTGAGGTAAACTGTAAAAACACAAATCTTTAACACTCATACAACTGCATAACACACTCTGACTTTGCTTTGTTGGAGGGACAAAGAAGAGAAAACGACATTTCATTTTTCGATAAAATTTTTAAATCCTTATGAATTGTAGATATGGTAAATGCAAGAAGGAAAACAGTTATTATTCGGCATTTCAAAAGGCCCTAAAAGGGCAAAAAGGGGAGGAACAATTGCTTGGGGGGGGGGGGGCGCAAATAAGCCAGGGAGAGGGATCGCTATCCTCAGATTTCAAAAGAGACCAGAAAATTATAAAGGGCGCCTCGGGGCGGCAGCAGGGTTTGGTGCTTTAAAGGTGTGATCGGCTCATGCAATGCTCCTTATGAGGGTTTGTTCCCTGGTTTTGTTCAATATCATTTACATAAATCTCTTTCTTTAACATTCACCACTTGTCCAGTCCAAGGCGCTGAGGTTAATGGCATGCAGATTGCATCGACAATGGAATCAAAGTGAATCTGAACCTTTACACATTGTTTATGATATTTAAAACTCAAATTATTCAGAGGGAAAGGAAAACTGTGTTCCATCAAGGTGTTCATTATTTTAAAATGACATTATGTGAGAACATTTAATACGGCAACATAAAAACTCATTAAAGAGTAGATCCATAATTACATGCAGGCGGCCATATGTTGAGGCGTTGTTAACCCACAACGCCTTCTGTTTATTAAGCGATTCATCAGATTGATGAAGCAATTTTACTCCGATATTTATCACGCAATAACTTATCATGCACCAATGTTGACGTGCGGTGAAAGTAGCTCAACAGTTTCTAAATGTTTTCAGCCAATATGTGTGTTTGAATAAAAAGAGTCAAAAAACACTAAAGAAATCTTAATTTTGAAGCTAAAGACAATAAAAAATGTTGTTCTCACACAGCAATGTGTAGCTGAAAGTCAGGGGAGGCCTTTGATGTTTGCAAAAAACTATTTGAATTTCGTTGAAAACTTGCAACCACCTGCAATCCTGTATTACTTCAATTTCTCGCAGTTCCAAAAATACTCGCTTATCTTCTGCCAAATCTGACAACATTCAACATTTCGAGGAGGACAGAAGGGGCTGATGGAAAGAAGCGGTCCTCGAGGAACAAAAAAGAGCTTCTTTGTCTGGATGTGAGGAATTACTGAGAGGTGGAGTGGTACGACGTTACCTGAAGCGGAATAAATAGCATCACCGAGAGGTTTAAAAATGAACATTCTGTACAATATTTCATAAAACGCAGCACAACATGTTGACTGTGCATTTCCATCCCTAAATATTGATGCCTCTCATGCTGGAAGAGGGCGACCCACCAAATGTAATGTAATGTGTTAATTATGTGAAAATATGGCAACGAAAAGACTTATTTGGAGGTTTTCAAGTCAAAACACTAGAAATGCATTTAAGTGAATCCAATGAGACCTCCCCTGTAGGGCGAAGGAGCGCTGACAAAGAGCGCCAAGGTGACCCCGGTGCAGATGGGATATGCTGCTGGATCAGCGGGAAACTGACCTGAGAACAGCAACTGGTTTCGTGTTTCTGAAAACCACCGCAGGTTTCTTACCCTTCCATTTATTTAACTCGTATCTGTCCTCAGGTACTGCGAGACACCATTTCTTATGCACATAATATCTCCCGAAAAAGCTTCTCTTTTATTTTGTTACATTTTTACACCCGTCCCCTCCTGGGAGCGCAGGTCAAAGGCCGCAGCCTCCCGCGAGCACGAGGCCCCTCCGAACCTCGCTGCTGTTTCAAAAGATTTACCTGAAGCCGCGTGCCGGGGCAGCAAGCGGACGGATGGGCAGGCGGAGTGAAACTGACACCACGACTCGTGTCAAAGAGATTCAGGGTCCACGTGTTCAAACACCTGAGCGCACGGGTGGTGTTTTTTCATTTTCTGCACCGTGGTCACATTTCTAAAACCGCTTTTACCACCGTTATCATTCCCTTTTATCCGTCATCCATCATTATTCTGCTGCTGGTGTTATTTCTGCTCTGACCACCATCATCCCATCAATCATTTGCCTCACATAGATCAACTATGTTGTAATTCTATTATGTTCTGTCTACGTGGTGTACAAGGGATCTTCTTTCTGATGCCTGAGGTTTCATCCGTTAAACTGTACAACCTGTAAAGTCTTTCTGAGGCGCATTTGTGATCAGTGAATTCATCTGTAACTTGTAAATAAAAGCGACTGTGGTTTCCCGATCAGCATCCTTACCTGTGAGAGCTCGCTGGCATCTATTTGACCGTTGCTATTTGCATCAAAGCGTCTGAACATCACGTCCACCAGTTGCTTCCTGGCAGCCATGTTGTCCCCGTGGGCCCCGTGGAACTTAGAGCCCATGTATCGCTTGTCGTGCAAATCCAAAACCTTGGTTTTCAGCCGCCGGTAGTCACTCAGTCTGCAGTTATCGTCTGGGGAGGAAAGATAAAAGGGAGAGAGGCAGAATATTTACCTTGAACTGAGAGGATGTTGTTTCTTTGTCGTTTGCTTGGATTACCAAAATGATTTCAATTGAACGAGCCGTCTACAAGCCGCTATTAAATAAAGACCCTAAATCACTCCCCGCTGCTGAAAAAAGCTTGATTAAAAGCATTGAACTTGGGGAATGTCAGGCAATTACTACCTGGGAAAACAACAATTTGCATGAAGAAAACTATGAGCGGATTCGCAAAAAGCGAATCTGAGCATGTCCGTGATTGTTTGAATCACAATAACAAACGCTGAGCTTTATTTTTCCCCCGAGGGCAGAACAAACAATGTCAGCCGTGCAGAAATCCACCGCCTCGAACTAAGGGAGCAGCAGCCCGAAACACGAGCTAACCCTGACAGCTCCAGAAAGCACGCCGGCGCTGTATTTACAATCCACCATCAAAAGAGGCGACTACATGAAAGCTTCTGCGGAGTAGAGTCGAGGCGAAAGCAAAATAACGACTCAAACTACGGGCTGACACGCGTCACACCGACTTCTCATTGTTAGATCTGGAAGTGCTCCTCCTCGGGTAACAGTTATTTTACGGGATGCCGAGCAACCCCGCGAGAAAGACTTTGTTCTTCCCAGGTGGTGCTTTTCAAACTTTTAGAGGGTGGGGAAGGTGACAGATGTGAAATAATGGTTTTGGCGTGATGTCTTTGTTGGAAACGGTCAGGGAAGGGGAGGACTTACGAAGACCATTGATGGCGTCTCCTCTCCGGGGAACCGGGTGCTGGGCGGAGAGCCGATGACTAGTTAAGCAGAATCAAAATCAACCAGAAGACAAACGTCATCAGCGGGTGCGTTGGGTCTCGCTTCTCTTCTCGTTTTCTCCAATCAGCGAGCATTTCAACGAGGGGACAGAAGATGCTGAGAGGAGCTCTCCAGACGCTCCGTGGGTGAAATCAACGGGCTTCCGCTGAGACCATCGAGCTTATTTCCTCTAAAGTATATTGTCAAACCTCGTTTGGCTGGCATTGAAATATTTAGTATTATGAGTGAAAAAAGTGTGAGTTTCTAAGTCTGCAGCTGGAGGATTCGGGGATATTTTCCTCGAGTGTTCATGCAAAGTAAGCTCACAGAATCATTATAATCAGTCAAATGGACTGTTATGTAAATAATGTTACAATTATATTTTTACAGATGGGAGAATAATAAAAGATCCATCAACATTTATCGGCTTCTGCCTTTTTACTCACAAAGGTGGCACAGTAACAAATCATGTCGTTTTTAATGTCTACAATGTGGATCCTCCCTCTCACTGACTTCCCTCGTGTGTGTGTTGTGTGTGTGTGTGTGTGTGTGTTGTGTATAAAGGAAACTGCATCAGCAGATGCGACGCGCTCAGGCGGCGGCTCGCCGCACGTCGGGGGACCGGCTCGGTTTTGACAAGCGTCAGCGCCGCAGAAGCTGCCTTGGTCACAAATGGCAGAATGAATAAAAGATAAATGGCTGCTGGCGTAACCAGGGGACACGAAGGTCGGCGGCGTCAAAGCGTGCAACTGTGCACACACACACACACACACACACACACACACACACACACACACGTGTACACAAGAACATTTCCAGCTTTTCTTTCAGCTGTTGTTGAAGTCTCCCCATCCAAGAGTATCCAGAGCGTACGTGTCTACGCAGGGAAGAGTCAGCATTACATGATGGATTCTGTTGTATTGTTTAAAGCAGATCCAGATGGACAGGTGGGATTATTGGGCCTTTGGTTGTCTCAGCCACACGAATGACTTTTGGAGAAAGATAACGGCAGCCTACAAAGTTCTGCAAACCTGTCCCCTACAGCGGTAAACCACAGCAGGCATGTCATTATTAAGCATGTATGCACATATCAATAGATAATAATACAAATCTGTTGGTTTGGGGCATGAATCATTTTTGCAGGTAGAACCATGGCTTGGATTTGACTTTGACGTTTTGCTCGTGGCTCCAAAGTCGGCAGGTTGGCTTCATTCAATCACGTGCAGCCGCACAAATTTCAAATTCAAAACACATTTAGTGCTTCAAATTAGCTAAATGACCAATAGGAGCAAATGCATCTTCCAGCCTGTGCTATCATGGACAATTTATTCCAGTCTTCTGAAATATTCCCACACATAGTAATGGCAGCACGGCCCTTCTAGGCAACATCCCATTACAAGCTGAATAAACACTGTTAAAGGAGAGGTAACCGTGTTGTGGGCACCAACTGTAAGACCCCCACCGCAACACTTAATCATACCGCCGCTTCAGTCAACATCGTTCAGGAAGGAACCAAAGGTTCAGACGGAAGCAGCTGATGTGACAAAAGTCGGAGTCAGGCCACGAAAACCTTTTTTAATCCACTCGCAGCAGTTTAGACACTCAATATTTCACCATCACTCTCACAGTATCGTTTCATAGTGGCTGTTAATCTGACAACGGGCCTTTTAGTCAGAATGTAGTGTGATTTAACGGCAGGTGGTATTATTCTTTTAACACCGTTTGGTAACAGCACACGGAGGACACGAGAGTGGTCGTGTCGCTTCAGCTGCTCCATGACCTTGCTCGTGACAAACGCCGCCGGTCACGCGGGCCCCATATGCGGCAGGCGACTGGCCAAGATCCACCGAGCTCAGCCATTGCCTCTTATTAATTGCCTTGAACTGTTCTCATAATGTGGAGGTCAAGTCCCCCTCCTGGATGGAAATGCATGTCAGAGTGAGGGGGACTCATTTGCGGTGCATCCAATGAGGAGGCAACATAGAAGCAGCAGGCAAAGCTCAGTTTGCGGTTTAAATCTACATTTGTTTAAAATCGTGTAAAATCCTGCTTGGTACATTAAGGGTGCCGCAACATTTCCAGTCATCAAAGTGTCTCCATCTTTTAGTTTTCTATGTCTAAAAGCAATGTTCAAATGGGGCGGACCTTTGTAGCAGATATAAAAGAAGTCCTTGAAGGCATCGCTGTTTTTCTTGTACATGGTAATGTTCCATGTGGACTGCGGCCGGTTCTTGAGTTAGAGAGAAGTACCCGACGTCTCCGGCACTGCGCGTCCTCTCGAGTCGACGAGATCACTTCTTGAATGAGGGCGCGAGTCTGTGTTATACTCTAAATTGAGGCATTCTGAGTAAAAAAAAAAAGCAATGTGTGGAATAAAACTGGATTTTCTACATTTCCTTTTATTTGTTTGTTCTACAAAGGTGAACTGAGCGAAGTGCTCGTATGAGTGCCACTGATACAGAGTGAAAACCAAGGCCGGTGCAAGCAGCACTACAACCATTTCGCTGAAAGCTTGAAATTAGATTTGTCCATCTGCGTGGTATTTTTAAACCACGGATAATAGGAGGGGTAACAGGTGGTCCTTTAATTGGAATGACACAGTGCCTACGTGGGCACGTTGCATCTGCAATTCACTGACAACAAATACAGTATCAACCGTTTCGCGAAAAACAAGCTTCACATTTCACATGCTTTAAGTGCAGAACTGCTAATAAACTCAATGCAGAGTTCTTTGTAGACAGCTGGTGAGTTGCTTCTGTCTTTACACAAGCTGCTGGATTCTGTTGAAATTAAATTATTTGAAAAAATAATGTAATGCAACAGAAACGTCCTTGTACTGAGCTACAACAAAAAGGTGATTCTCTCAATTGTCGGTCATCAGGCTGTAAATTGCAAAAAGGCTTCACCTTTAGCTGATTGAATCCCTGCAAACCATTAGAGAAAGGTCCAGAATAGAGAATATAAAAGCTGCAGCATCCAGGGTCCATTTGAAGAGGGCAGAGATCCAACACCTTTTAATAATTATTACAGCAAGAAGAAGCCATTGAGTTCGATCTAAAAGGCACAGCGCTTATAGATGGGCCTGCAGCGCTGGGAGTGAGAAGGGGTTGAAAAGTCACAGATAAAAAAAGGCAAACCTCATCCATCGTGTCCGTCGTTCACCGAGGCGAATCCTCCTCCGCCTGCCCCTTTAAAAGCACCACTGTTTTATTTATATAAAGAGAAGCTGGCTCAGCGGAATAACCGGAGTCCACTCTGCCGAAACTGTCCCATCTTTGCTCCGCAGAGCTCCCCCTCCCCTCCAAACCACCTCACCAGCCCTTCCGTCTCCGGGCCCCCGGACACTGCCACGGCTCACAGTACATCGAGGCGGCAAAGCGCGACAACCGGGGTCACCCGAACCAGAGGTCAGCGATTGCAATCTTTAAGAGCAACTAGAGGTGTCACTGCGGCGGCACCTGACTGAATCTGGAACGGATATCGGGGGCAGCAAACTCCTCGCAGCCGCTCCTCCAAGCGTGATGAGAATGCAAGAAATAAAGAACCTGGGGCAGAGATAACCGACTTCCGATATTATTCCAAAGTTCAGAAGAAAACTTTTTGTCTCCGACTGGCCGTCGGAGTCAAACGTACGAAACGTGAGGTTCACAGTAAATGATGAGCGTTGAGAAGCTGCTCAAACCGCATTTGGAGAGATACTCCGTTGTCATGGAGATGTAGCTTCCTTTTACGAATGTGTGCCTATGTGCTGTAGCTGGTCTTCTTTTTGTACAGTAGTGGTTTGGGTGGCCGTGAGTGTATTTCTGCAAACCACATTCTCACCAGTTATTAAGTCACTTACGTTAATTCACATGTATTAAACTGAAAAAGCATTTTTCACAATCTCTGGAAAACGGTTTTCTCGAGTAGCTTTACTTTGTTTAGGTATTTGGTAACGGCTCAGGACAGATTCCCTTCGTTCTGTCGTTTCCTCCTCGGATGCAGATGTAGTTCTCTGCCTCCCATCCTGCTGGGCGACTGCTGCTGCTCCTCATGTCTTCGTCTTTGATGTATCACCTGCCTCCCGTCTCACCTTGGAGGGGATCATTATCATCCAGGAGCTTTTCCTCCAACCTCTTCCCACCCGTCCAATTTACCCTCCCACCCTCGTCTTCTTCACTGAGCTCTGACAGAAGCCTCCAGAGGTGT